TGCACATATGGAACAACACAGGACAGCACATCAATGGTGTCACTGGTGGTTCAACAGCAGTGTAGACCACAACTGAACAAAACCAGTCCCCTAAAAACAATCTGCACAACACTAGTCTTGATTTCTAAACCACCCGTGTTGGATGGCCCTCTGCAATCCCTCAGAGATTGCTGTTGTTTATGGAGCAGAAATTATGCCCATTGCTGGAAATCTGCAACGTTTCCACTCTGAGTATATCTGGCATCAGCTTCTGGCCAATAGCTCCTGGTTACACATTGTTTGCTCAACAGGAGAGAACCTCAATCATCAAAGGTTCATTCCACAACTGGGTCCTTGGGGATTTTGACCAAGACACCCCTTTTAGCCTTTTCATCGATAAAGAGACTGACCTCCTTGAGGCACACTGATCCACTGCCTCACACCCCTTAATTCATTCATGTGGGGCTTTTCTGAACTCCCCTAATCCTCCTAATTTTCAAATAGTGTAACATCCTGCTACAGCAGTCACACCAATGCCAAATTCTCATGATACAAACCCTCTCTATTCCTCCACAATGTTCTTTTTTTCTCTCACCCTCCTGTAAGGCACACTATCCTTCCTGACTGTTTTTTGCTTTTTTAGCCCCTTCTCTCTACTTTCTAGTACTGAGTCTTCCACCCTCTGGCAGTATTCATCCAGTGTTGCTTCAAGGGATGCAAGAGATGTACAACAGTCAGATTTCAGTGCTTGCTGGTGACAGGGGGTACGTGGCAGCCTCCTGAAACAGGTAGACAGCCATACTTTTCCCACAGATCTCCTGAATTCCACAGATTTTCAGCTCAGGGCAGTGTAGTGTCCCAGTATAGCATCGTTAACCACAAACCCTTCACTGTATCCATGCAACTAGCTGGACCCTCCACGGTGCCAAATGCTAATCATCATCCTGAGGGTAAAAATGTGGACAAAGACTGCACACAGGGCTGGCAGGTGCTCCTGTAAATCTGGAGCTTCCAGGAGTTCTACATCCATTAACATCAGATGAAGCACCACACCCTGAAGCTCATTTTGTTGAGGCTGATTATTGCATAGCTTCCTTTTAGAAACTGATTCTTTGTTCTTCCCTTAATTACTTAATTTACTTGATTTAGATCTATAGATCTGTTTCAGTGACAGTAATAGAGGGACCAAGCCCACATTCCTCTCACAGAGATTCTTTTTTTTTTCTTTTTGCATATGAATATGTAGAAACAACTGCTTTGTCTTAATAGTTCTGCAAAGGATTATTTCAGTGATTTGTTAATACTTAACCATCTGGTGGAGGAACACTTCACCATTTGGAGAAAGACAGAATCTCCTTCTTAAAGCTTTTACAACCTGAGGCAACAACACACAAAAGCATAAAGTTATTTGCAGTCATTGCAAGCACAAGCCTTTTACCTTCATTTCTGTTTTCACAACATTTCATTTACATTTTGTTTATTAAACAAAACGCATGACAGCCTTATGTGGTCTTCTGTTACTAACTGACTATTTCAGTGGCCAAAGTGGATGATATAAACACCTTGTTATGATCTGGAAAGTTATTTTAGACCACCCTTCTGTTCAAACTGTTCCTTTTCTGTAGCACAGAATCACATAACAAGTCAATAAAAGTGAAAACACGAGCTTACACCTTCAGGCTAAATCTGACTGTCAAAAGGATTTCCCTGAGAGAGAAAAAAATAAAAAAATCCTGAACAACTTTCTTTCCCATTTCCATCTGTTAACTCACACTTCTGCCTGGTGAAATGCCTCAGTGAGAAACAGAGTATCTCTGATACCAGCCCCTGATGGAGTGGAGTAGGCTGAGTCAGGGAAAGTAGTGTGAAAACATCTTCCATTCAGATGAATGTCAGCTTTTCCTTCTGCATTCTGGAACTTTAATTTGTGTCTTCAATTGTCAAAATAAAGGTGGGAAATCCCACCTGCTTATTCAAGTGGTTGGCAATTAAATTAAAGGGCTTTTTTTTTTTTTTCTTCTGTTAAAGCATGAACTGCAGCTAGGCAATGCAAAAGCTCTTGTAATTCTCCATGTGATCTGTACTAGCAAGCCTTCATTCAGAGTAAGCCTCTCTTACACAGCCAATAAACAGAAAGGCCCAAAATGTCAGCAGAAGAGCTCACAGCAGGAACAAAGAATTTATGGGCACCAAAGGTTTACTGGTACCTTATATTTTGTCATGACAGAGTATTCCTGCCTGAATTACCAGAAGCTGAAAAACGTGTATATGCCTTTACCATTCTTATACATGCCTTCCATCAGAGTGTAGAGAAAACATGTGGATAGGATGACTGGGAAATATGTTGTCAGGCCTGAACCTGCCCTTAAAGTCTAGATTGCAAAAACAGGCTTTCATCTTTCTACTTGGCAAGTCTCCTTCTAATGGCAGATGTGACAGATAAAAAAGCTATGCGGTTCTGGACAGTATCAGTGTGAATGGCCAGTGAGAAAGGTCATTACCTGACCCCATTTTATCCTGCTTTAAAGAAAAATAAGTGATTTAATTATTGGGTGTTGGTGTTGAAACAAGCAAGTTCCAAAGATGACTTTGAAATGCATTTATGGCCCAATTTTTTTAGAACAGAATGTGCTAAAAATAAGCAACCGTGCAGTGGCAGTACATGCCAAAGCTACAGATAAATTATGTATCGTACATGCATCAGTGCACACACAAAAATCTGAAATCTTTGGCCTGTCACCTTGTAGAAGCTCGCATACTGATAATATTCAATGTCTGAGGAGAGCTTCTTTGTTTTCCTAGCAATAGCAACACAAGGCTGTTGCCTGTCTGTTACTGTCAAAAAATGGTATCTGACAATGATTATGTATTTGTTCCATTTCATATCAAATACAGTTTCTGGCAGGAAAACTTAATTTTCCTATATATGCAGGCAGAAAATATCTCAGAGATCACGCTATTAAATATTGTCTTGCAGAGAAACTTTGGTGTGAGCTTCCTTCCACAGCATGTTTTAAGAAGTCTTTGTATAATTCTCAGAACAGCTTGTGGGAAACAATTCAAGCTTGCATATCCTGAATGGACTGAAATCTCCACTCCAAATCTCTCTCACTGTATTCTACCCTTAACAGAACCTTTTTCCTTTTCATGTGGTTTCCAAATCTCTGGGGTGTCCGACCTAGCTGTGTTAGATTTCATTAGAACTTCTAGGAAGAACCCATCCTCTGGAGGAAATCAAAGGCATCTGAAGAGTGTGTCCATCTTTTTTGTCATCTTCCAGACTCATCTGCTTCTCCTGAGTGGTGGTAGAAGTTCATAACAATATGGTTCCTTCTTCAAACTCAAGGTGAGACATCATGGCACCATGATTGCAATGTCACCTGTTCAGCTGTGGGCTGTACGAAATCTCTGTTAGATAAGTCAGCAAATGGTTGGAGCAGTCTACTTGTGGCAGAGAAAATTCACATCAGAAGAGGTAAGCACAAGGATGCTGCTCCAGGCTTTGGAATCTCCTGAGACACAAAAAGCAAGAAGCAAAGGGATTGTTTAGTCAGATTTCTCAATCTCTTCTGTATGATGTTCTTACCACTGCTGGTCACAGGGAGAGGTGTGCCAGTGGTCCAGCCTGGTGTGGCCAGCTTTTGCTCTTGTAGATAGAAGACAAAGCTCAAGGTTTTCCTTCTATGAGGGGAGCTGAAAGACCAGTTTCCTGTTTCCATGGGCTCAGCAGTTTATTAAGGAACAGACTCTGCTTAAGGATTTGGGATTTGATTCTTGATGGGGGTCCAGGAGGCTTGGAAGTGAGGGGTGAGACATGTCTGGCAAGCCAGGTAGGGTGAGGAGAAGGGGAATGTCCACTGCAGCCTTTAGGATGCTGCATCGATATAGAGGAATCTAACTACTGAAGTGAGACTCAGATCAGAGTCTCATCTCTCATCCCTCAGATGTGTGAGGGAAGTTTTGTACCAGGGAGGTTAACATGTCATCAAGGAACAAAGGCTGAGTGAGTTGTCATGCATAAGATGTGAAACATCAAAGGGAAAAAGAGTCAAGAAATATATCTATGCAAAACCTGAGCTACAGAAAGATCAAACCCCCTGAATTTCTAAACAATTATCTGTACATAGTTAATTTGTTTTCCTGATCTATGGGCATCATGTATTCCAAAACAGAATGACAAACTCCCAGGAGAATCAGTAGAGCTGGGTATTTTTTGGGATATTTTGCATTTTGCTTCCTATTTTCACTCTGGCTGAGAGATAGAGTGACCAGAATTATAATCACCTTCCGGCCACTAGATTCTCCTTGTGAAATACCCAGAAAAGGGTTGTACATGTCATAACAAACATACTAAATGATAGCATTTATTATCCTCTTCCCCAGGCTGGGCATTCTGAGAAATAAGGCAAAAATGAATGAGTCAGAGAAAGATAATCGCTCCATCACTTCAAGAGGAAACTGGGACGGACATCTAGCTCTTCAAGTCTCTTCATGCAGGTTCTTCTCCTGTGCTCAGCAGCCCACTGCCTGACACCAGTGTGGTAAGCACTATGACTAATAGCTAGCATATGTTGTTTGCTTTCTCATTTTCTCCAGAGGAAGCAGCATATGCACTAGTGTGTCTTGTTTGGTAGGATTTTCTGCTCTATTTTTAAATAAAGGTGCTGCTCTGCATTTATCCTGCAGAAAGCACCTCCAAAAGGTTCAGACCTGTGCTTTGAGGGGCAGGTGGTGAGGCATGGGACAGTGCTTAATTCTTGCCTGTGTTTGTTCTGCAGCCTCTGAAGGATGAGAAAGTTTTGCCTGACTTATACAGAGGCTTTATTGTGACTACAGAGTTATCGTGCACTGCTATCATAACAGGGCTTCTCAGGCCAGCAGCTTTTGGCAGTCACTATCTTTGCCTTAAGACAAAAAAAATGCAACCTCTTGAGCATATCAGCAAGCCAACCCCGAGAAATATTGCTGGAGAGATGATCAAACATTTGGATGCACTTTCTGTGAGTTAGCTAGCAAGGCCAGCCCCTTCTGCTGACGTCTTTCCTCTCTATCACACATCAGACTTTTCCCAGTGGAGCTGGAGAACAGGCTTCAATGAAAACTGCCTGTTTGCAGCTACATGGAGATTGCAGGCACCACAATTACTATTTCCTCTCCCTGACCTGGAGCAGCAACTCCATCAGCAGGATAGAAAGGTAGCCTTGTTGCCTAGCAAAGGTGGGATGATTTATCTGTGTGTCTAGATTGGTCCCTTTTCTTTGCTGCACAAGAGAATTTGCTTTCAGACTTCCAAGGAGAATGAAGCCAGGCTAGAAACCGGAGTGGATGTGGGAGAGCTGCTCTCCCAGGGAGTAGAAAGAACCACAGGGTCTCTGTGCTTTCTGTTCCTGTGAAGCGCAGGACAATGGTTTTGTCTGCTCCAGTTATAGCCCTGGGGGCTACCTTAGGGACTGCAACTAGCATCCTTGCCCTCTGCGGTCTCACCTGCTTCTGCAAATGCAAGCAACCTGGGAAAGGACTCTCAGAAAAGGACCAAGAGGAGGAGACGGAAAATACTAAGCCCAGTGTGCTTCAGCCAGTCCAGCAAGTAAGACACAGTCTCTAATTTACTCAGTGATTTTTCTTTAAATGCAGAGGGTGGGAGTGTGACTTCCCTGTTAGGCTACTCAGCATGTGATTTATGCTGCCTGTTTATCTGCTTACGGTGTTCAGGATATAACAACATGCCAGTGGGAGGAGGAGTGAGGGGAAAAACAGAGATGAGCTGGGTACCACAGAATTACCGGAGCAGGAGACAGCTGCCACGGAGCCAAAGAGAAAGCTGCTAATGGCAGAAACAGGGGATGAGGGCTGGAAATGCTGCTTGGTAGTAAAAATAGATCAAAAGAGAAATAATTCCCTAAGAAGAGAAGACTGGACTGTGCCAGGTGGCACGCGGCATTGTGAAGAGGAGATGGCTCCTGCTGAGATCTTGTATAGCAGCTATTTAATTCTATTCACAATATCTCATAGTTCCTGCAGGATAGCTCCCTGTCAACAGCTGGTTTCTTGTGAAAACCTTCCCTCCTCCTCCCTCTGCCACTCTAACTGAGGGGATTAATTATGTGTGAAGTTAAAACAAGACATTGAAATCATAATAAAAAGCTAGTGAGAATCTAGATTGTGATGACTGGACAATCTCATCACACTGCAAATTTATTTTTCATTTACTGTAAAAGCAATGTGGATAATGTCAGGCATCCCTATGCGTGCTTTCATTTTTGTTAGAATCCAAACAGCCTGATTTACTCCTGAGCTCAGTGCAAGAGGGAACGAGGGGAATTATAGAATGCTTCTAATATACTTATTAATGGCAATCTCTTCTCCAAAGGGAAGTGTTTGATGATTTCCTCGGTCAAATGTGGTCTTTAGCATGAGCTGTAGCACCAGTCAGTCTCTGAAAGTATTACCTGTTGGCTGTTGCTCCTGATATTTGTATGTGCCTGTGTCCTTTTCACTTTCACCTAGCCATTCAACCAAGTGTTATGCCATAGTAGCCCGTTCTGAAGGCCTGTGCTCCATTGTATAATGTGCTTTGTTTGCCTTTTCATTATTTCAGCTATTATTTTTGTATTCTTAAAGAGTGTAGCACAAGTCCTAATGGAACTCCTCTGTAATGTTTGTAATTAAAATATTCAGTCTTTCCCTGGCTTCCCCTCTTCAGCTCTTTGTAGAAAAAAACCTTGGTGTCCTTGTGTTCTTCTTGCAGTTTATGCTGAGGAAAGATGACCAAATCTACAAACAGTATTGTAAGAACTGCTGCAGACACAGAGAATGGCAGATTCTTACAGATCTTGTGATTGCTAGAGGGGGGAGGAGAGGTGTGGGAGGATGGCTCCACTGACCATGGATTAACTTCTGCACAGAGTTTAGGACTTCTCAAGAGATTGCTGCTAATTCTGAATCTCCCTCCATGAGCATGGTGCATAACTCCTAATACCCATTTGCATTTTCCTAGGATGAATTTCACCTGCTGTTTTGCTTGACAGCCTAGTCATGTCCCTTTCAGGCTCCTTTCTTGTCTTTTCTATCCCATACAGGGCACTAGCTAATACCTATATATAAGAATGTAAAATAATGAGGAGATTTTTCCAAGTTCACCACTAATGTGAATGAAAAACGTGTAACTTTGACAGCCATATCACTTTGCATAGCAATTTTTTCTAGCTGTTGTCTGCAGCAACACAACCCACAGACAACTTTACCATCAGGCTCTTTCTATGAGAGTTTGATATTGTAATCTCCAAGCCTGGAAACATCTCAAATCTTCATTTTAACTCCATCCTTGGACTGGGCTTTTTTTTTTTTTTTTTCTTTTATACAACCTTTTGGGAAACATCTTGGAGAAGTGTTAATGCATCCTGGATCTTGTCCACAGGGGTGCTATCTTGTTTGCAGGACTGAAATAAGCACTAAGTCTCCATAATGTTCAGCTAAGTCTCCAGTACCCAGCAGCTATTCAGTTATGGTCCTCACAATACTTCTACATTCATCAAGTTTTGCCATGACTTAATCCAGTATTTGACCAACAGGGGATAAAATTATTCAACCTGCCCTAAATGTGTCATTATTACCTGAGTGATTGTATTCTTTCAGCATTGTAGACTTTTTAATTTGAAGTATTCCAATGTTACAGGCTTTTGGGGTTTTTTTTAAAGAAATCTGAACACATTATAGCAGCCGAGTGAACATTCTGTCACAGAAATGTGCAAAATGTTCTTAGTTTGCATATTCCATATGTTTAGTAATTCTTTCCAATTAAAATAATTTTCTTGCCAGGAACATGAATTCTGCTATGCTGTCACTGATTCAGAATCAGTCTCTATACCTTGAAGAAATAAATCTCAATTTGAGTTCTGAGCTTGTGCAATTTTATTATCTCTATGTTTATAAATTGTTCTGCTGGGGCTTTTTTTTTCTGACTACATTAGTACACAGTATGTCCTAGTCAGTGTTGGACACATTTAATTATTGAAACCTGTCAGGGCCACTGATTCTGATAAACACAGATGACAAAAGAAAGATGTAGCAAGTCTGCATTTTGTTCACTTGGCATGTCTCCCATGACAGTGATGCTTGTATTTGCTATAGACAGAGGCTCCCCATGGGCATGCCCTGCATACATGAGGAGGAAGAGTTCAGACACAAACATACATCTACAAAACAACAAGAAACTGCAGTAAATTTTCAAAGTCTCAGCAAAGCCTGAGGAATGAAGATTCCTAAACACATCCATCAATGGCAACAGTCTGGTGCTTTGAGTGACACTGGGCAGGGACACAGAAGGATCATTTGCAGCCTCCTTGCTCCTTCTGGTTAACTTGCTTTTATGCATTTTTGCAGAACTATCTGAACTCTTCTGCTCATGTCCTTATTTAAGACACAACTGCTGAGTTGCAAAGGGAACTTCCATAGGGCACTGCTATGTAACTGGATTAGCACACAGCACTTGGGAAAAGAGCTGGCAGCAAAGTAATAAACAGAGGCAGATGCAGTTGGAAGAGGGGGTGGGCTAGTCCCACTGTGCTTGCATATGCCTCTCGTCTCTAATTCTGCAGAGCAGACAGACAAGAGGAATATTTAGACCCAATGGAGTTCTTAGATGCTGTGTGCTGATGGATTTCCTGACTAAATACCTGACTTTTACCAAGAGGAAGAAAAGATTGTACTAACAATATGTCACATTTGAGTGGCGTTTTTCATCCCAAAGGATCTGGAAGTGCTTTGTGTGCTGGCAGCACAGAGCAATGCAGGCAGGAGGCTCTGGTGTGTGGCCAGTGAGGGGTAGGACAGCAGTCGGGCACAGCAGCTCCAGGAGAGAGGACAGCAGAGGCTGACCACCACGTCAGGCACTGTGTGTGTGCTGGATGCCTCACCTCTGCACAACAAAAGCAACCTGCCTTTTCTAGTTGCTGTCCAGTGATTCCTCACATATTCTGCTTGGTTGGTTTGCTTCAATTTTAGAAGAATGGAAAACTGCACTGAAAGTTGGGATGAAGAACTTCACATTTCCTAGGTATTTTAGGACTGATGAGGATCACATCTCTGTAAGAGGGATCTCACAGCCCCACACTGTGTAGTTTACATACTATCTAAACTCAACTGAATGCTAAGTGAGGATGGCACACAATGATGTCTTCTTTTCTCAGCCAACTTCTCTTTCAAAACCCTTAGAATTAGGCAAGTAAAAATGCTACGTTGCACAGTGTACTTCCAAAAGACAGGTGCACTGGCTGCCTTCAGAAGATGGAGTCACTGGCCTAATTACTTCTCTGTCACTGCAAAGTGTATGCAACCAGGATCTCCACAAGCAGAAGATGTCTAGGTTAACATCTAAGACATTCCTCTTTCTTCAGCTCTCTTTCTTGAGAGGTAGCTATGCTTCCTTTGGACATACAAGCTGGGACCAGGAAATCCCAACACAAACAAGAGTTTCAGGGCAAAATCTACATTCATTATTAATAGGAAACAATAAGACTAATGAAAACCTTTAATTACAGTTATGAACCTTTTGTGTCTCACCTTCAATCTTGAGAAAAAGTAGGTTCACGGGCAGTAGGTTGGAGATAATCCCACTGCACAATTATCAACAAAAACAGCTATTTTACTCATGGTTTTTATCTTTCATGTTTTGAGAACATTAATAAAATCTATTGCAAGGGTTGGGGTCGTTTGCTAGTCAGCTTTTGTTCTTCCCCATTGATGAATCCAAATATAAATGCATCAGGAATGATTTCCGTTGTAAGAAGGCAGAATCCTTTCTTGGGACATAAGCAGAAGGGAACTTTTCTATTCCACTAAAATATATTTTTTTTTTTGTTTTGGGACAATGGTAATGCCTCTTCTGCTAGCCTTTGCTTGGACTACCTTAGCATCTTGCAGGTTCTTCTTCTCATCTCATGTTCATGATTCAGCAGGGAATTGAAGTGTTAAGAACAAAATCAGACATAAATCCAAATTTCAGTCCTAGTATAGTAAAGGGAAAATGTTTGTCTGATGGTCAGATGAAGCTCTGGTCCAAGAGGCTGAGATGACCACTGAATCAACTACTCTTGGTTTGCCAGTCCAGGGCTCATTTGTTCAGCTAGTTCTGCTTAGTCTTATTGCGCCATGGACATACTTACTCCAGGTTTGATTTATGTCTTTGGACTCAGTGCTTACTATATACTCACCTAAAATATTCTGGGTTCTGTGACATGGCTGTAGCCTCTTGCTCTTGGATTTGACTTCAAATACCAAGGTAAAAATTGCCATATCTTAAACAAAGCAAAATTAATTCATGGTTAATTTCTTTACTAAAATGAAAGGATTAACTTATGAAAATATTAATGGGTATCAGAACAGAGGAAAAATCAAAATATAAGAACATATCTTTTTCTTATAGTAGTCAAACATCTGTAGAGGAATAAATCTGAAAAGAGACGTGCCAAGTAGAAGGTATCTGTGTTGGCAAGAAAGTCTCCAGACATACAGGCAGTGGCTTCTACAAGCCAAATAAAAATGGTGGTAGGACTGACCAGAGGCACAGCTTTTTTCTTGTCTCAGCTCATCTAACATTAAGAGAATTGGAGGAATTAGTGTAATTAGTGCAAGGTAATAAAAAAGGTTTTAATTTTCAGTTCAACGTGAAGAAAACCGCAGAGCCAGTCCAGCCTCGAGCACTTCTGAAGTTTCCCAACATTTATGGCCCCAAACCAGAAGTAACTTCACCCGAAATTGTTAACTACACACAGTACTCTCTGAAGACAACAGAAGAACCAGCTACTGGGAAGCCTAATGCTTTGGATGAGAATAGGATGAAGATACAAGTCAATGAAGAGCTGTTTGTTCTCCCTCAAAACGGTAGGAGCTTTTGGTCTTCAAATTAACAATTGCTTTAAAGGGGGTGTAGATCTGTAATACTGCTAAGCATAATGTGATTGTTGTTAGATAAATAAATGTGGAAGTGAAGACATGGGATGCTTTTCGTTTTCCTGTCGTGAGCCCTCTGAGTCTTGTTTTCAATATGTCCTTTCAGCAGAAGATAGTCGTGGAGCTCATAAGGACAAGCTGTAGTTGTATCTTGTTGAATTTTTTTTTTTTTTAACCCAAACATCTTTAGTTTGGGTAATCTGTCTCCCTGGTAGCAGACATTTGGTAGAAAAGCATATTTAGTGTAGTTGTGCTGAGAGCAGTAGCCAGAGTATGTGGGAAATATCTGGCCAAAATTAAGCAGAGTATCTCCTCGAGGTCAAATGCTAGCTGTCCAGCAACTGTCCTTGTCAGGGACAGGGGCATCAAAGCTTCTAATTTTCTCTACTCCTTTATTTCCATGGTTTGGTGAGATGTTCTTGGCTTACTGTAATGTGCAGTGAAACTGAAGGCTGACACTTCAAAGGTTTTTGCCAAACAGAATTCCTGTTTCCCAGCCAGCCCAAAGGGTAACACTCCAAATCCTGTAACATAAGATTTCTGGAACCTGAGAGAAAATGAAGTCTTAATTATATGCATCTGGCAGCATGTCTGGTATTCTTCCATACTGATTTTTAACTTCACAGCCATTCTTAACAGGATAATTTACTCTTATGGTGACCACTTTAATAAAATCTTCCTGAAGATTTGCCAGCAAGACAACACCATCTGCCATTATTTTAATTGAGTACTCTTTTTAGTTCTTTTTAATTTTTTGAAATCACATTTTTTCCCTTCTGGAAGGACAGTTGCTACCTTTACCCCTCCAGCTTGAGGCTTGTGAGAATGGAAGAGAAAGTACCATGGGAAACAGATGCACTGGAGGAAGAGACTGTCTGAGCCACATCCTTAGGTGTCAGGGAAAAGATTACAGGGTGGAAAGGATAAAAGATGATGGCTGCATTTAGGCTAAAGCTTTATATAAGTGTTGGTGTAAGAGCCTCCCTGCACTGCTAATGGCACAAGCAAGTTTCCTTCCTGCTCTGCCTGATTTTATAGCTCAAGTGTTGCTAAAATTAAGCAAGAATTGTTGCGTTCTCCTTTTGATGCCACAATGAACTGCTCTGAACTGTGGCTGAGATTTTTAGGAGGAAGTGTGTTGGTCCCACTATTGTTTTCTATGTGAATCAGAACTGACCTTGCAGATAACAGTTTTGGATGACAAAAATCTCTGGCTTCTCTTTTTTTTTTTTTTCTCTCTTCTCTTCTTTTTTTTGCAACTTGCTTTATTTTAGTATCAAATACAAACTCAGCTCCAAAATCATGCATGGAGAAACTCCCTTATGGATTCCAAAATTCATTGCCTTCAGCCTGCTCAGGTGCTATGGAAATGGATGTCTTTTGAATGACAAAGACTTTTCTGTTAAAATGTTAAAAAGCCAAACAAAATGTTCAGAGCAGTCTGACCTAATGCAGAGCTGCACAGCAGTTCAAGAGCAGACTCACATTCTCATTGCAGAGAACATAAGATTTAATTTACTAATGCCAGTTAAAAGAAAAAAAACCAACAATATAACACGAAATGAGTGTCATTTGGACACCTTGGTCTAGTTATAAGGTAAAAGAGCAAGTGTGTGAACCATCACAGAGCACAAGGTGGTGGAAAGCAGAAGGCTTGTCCAAATGCTGTAGAAAGAGCTGGAAGTGCAAGTAAAGAGAGCAAAAAGGATGTGTGATGATGGAGGAAGAAGGAAAATAAATTATATTCCTGCATACCAAGTGCAGAAATCGTGAGACATTTAGAATAAAAGTACAGTCAAGAGAAGGTGGATTTGCTGTGAAGAGCTGCTCGCTAAAGGGGTTATTTCAGTTCCAGGTGTGGTAAAGGACGTGTGTGTCACGGAGCACCTGAAGCCCGAGCGGGCAGCCAGCGGTAGCCAGGTGCCCGAGCTGCACTACTCGCTGGGCTACGACCCGCAGCAGGCCGAGCTGCGCGTGGCCCTCCTGCAAGGTAAGGCACAAATCTCCCGGCCTGGACGGGGCAACACGCCTGGGGATGGCGCTTACACACAGCTCCCCTCCTGCCTCAACACCAACGGGGACCCTCAGGACCACTGGGTGTTTCACTGGCTCTGGGCTTGAGGGACAGGAATACCTGTCGATGCCACTGCTTGAAGAGAGGGCATGGCTTGGGAACAGTTGTTTGCACAGCTTTGTCAGGAACCAGGATGGGCTCCTCCTGTCCCAGACATGGTACAAAGCAATGTCTTCTTTTTATTTTTTCCTTTGGGGGCAAGAGGAATGGGGTTACTATCTCCTTCCTCTCTATACCTTTCATTCCTCAACCCAATCCACTCACAACTGCCTTTTCCTCAAGCTGAGTCAAAGCCTGAGCTGGAGATACCAGACTTATTTTGAGAAAAGTCCCTCTGGCAGTGCCTGGCCAGGCTGCCAGGCTCCGTGTCACTCTCTGACAACTGTAACAGCTCCTCCACTCGGGGCTGGAGCATCATCAGTTCCTCTGGGAGAGTAAAATAAGCTGACTGAATAATTCATGCACAGCGTAGATCTCTGTGGCAACCTAATCAAATCACACCCTCTGAGATGAGAATTGAAAGGGTGCTGAATGGCAGCCACAGCTGTGGGCCTCCTGCTGGCAGCAAGCCCACAGCTCCCCTTCAGGATGGCCACCCATGCCGGCTGGCTGCCACCCTGGCACTCCTGTGCACAGGACCTGGCTCTGCTCCCCAGTGCTGCTCCCCTGAGAACCCATGGCTCCTGGCCACTCAGGCACAGCTGTCCTTGGACTGGCTGCAGCAAGGACAACAGCTTTTCCCTCAAAGCTGTCATATTCCATGACCCCTTAGGAGGAGGTTGTGTTCCTCTTGCTGCTGGAGAAGGAGTGCAATTCTGTTGGTGCAGCTGAAGGAGTGTGAAATGCCATTCTCCCTCTAGGCTTTTCAGCCTAAAAGGGATATAAAATTAGGGATGAATGTTTCTTGACACAGGTCTTTTGGGCTGTTGGACGGCTTCTGATGGATTCATTTACCAGAGGTTGCACCAGCAGAATGCAATAACCCTTAGACATATCCTACATTGGCCTGGAGGGATGGATGTGTGCCAAGGGAAGCTCTATCCCATCTCTGATGTCTGTGACTGACCTTCCTGCTTTTAAAGTCATTGTAAGAAGCTTTTTTTTTTGTGTGCTGAGGTAAAAGTAATTGAGAACTGCCAATCCCTGTTTCATGTTGCCTCATTTCAGTGCTGTTCTGCATCTTTCAACAGAATGTGTTTCCTTGATCTCAGCTGTTGCTCTCCCAAACACTGGTAGCATCTGTCTGCAGTGGCACAAGGACAGGGACATTGTGCAGCCTGAGGAAAAGACCACAGCATGGTCTCACAGCTTAATCTGCCCCCATGCAGGCAGGAGCAGGGGTCAATGTCTGTGCAGCTGTTTTATTTGAACATGAAACAAGCGATTTAGCCACAGATACTTCAGGGCTGTCCTTTGTGAGAGGTCCTTACCATCCATCTTTTCCAGCTATGCATGGCAGAATGAGTGGGGACCAAGATGCTGGCTGCCACTGCTACATACTGGGCACACTGGAGAGCAAGGCTGGTATTGCTGAGGCCCAGACAGAGCTGAAGAAGAAAGTACTTCACACCCTTTGGGAGGAGGTGCTGCGATTCCCATTAACAGAGGAGGAGATGCCAGGAGGGACACTGACCCTCACTCTGAGGAACTGTGACAAGTTCTCCAGGCACAGCATTGTGGGGGAACTCAAACTGAACCTTGCTGAAATGGAGGAATCCTTTGGGAAGGCCCAGTGGGAAAGGCTAAAGAGCCCAGAGAAGGTATGGACTCAGTCTGTGTCAGTAGTTCAGAAACCCTAATGATTAAGAGTTTGGACAAGAGAAGCTCTTTTCCTAGAGAGCTGCACAAGGGTTGGTGGCTTTATTTGTTTGGAGGGGTGATGTGTGACTGCAGAGAGCACTCAGCACAGCTCTGTACTGGTCTGTAGCTCATCATACCAGAAGCCCTTCTGTCTATTGCTCCCAGCCCTTCATGTGTCACAACTCCCCCAGCTTCTCCCCAGTTAGATGACAATCTGACACTGTCATCTGTAATTCAAATGTTATGTCTAGAAAAAGGTGTGTGAGCTTCTGAGAATTAGTGATACAGGACCAGCAAGAGCAGAAATATCAGAGAGTGCCTACAGAGCCCTATGGGGCGACTCTGCAAAGCTGGGGGTGGTAGGGCACCCCAGGGAAGTTAGGACTGAAATACATTGTTGGGACTGGAATGCTGGACTGAAGGACACTTATACTCACTGGAATCAATCTGGTGCTATTTGTTCTGGGAGATGTCAAAATATCATTCATTGCACCATGTTGGTTTCCTTAAACATCAAAACCTTCCTTTCCTTCCTTATTTGCATCTTGACAGTTGCACAGACAGGAAAAATGGAGGGAAGAATTCCAACAGTTCTTGAAGTGGGTACATGGGATGCTTCACATGCACTAATTTCTTGCACATTTCCTCAGGAACCTTCTCCCTGCCATGAGCTAGGTTGTTCTAGCAGCAGCAGTTCACTTAACATGGCAGCAGGATGCTGCTACTGCTGCTGCTGGTCCATCACAGCAAGTGGTACCTCTTGTAATCTGCTGTGGTACGGCTGAGCAATGCAAAACAACTCCAGCACCGCCACTATGCACAATGAAACAAATTATTGCCTGTCACCATCAGGGGTGAGGGCTCTCCACTAAGCTGGCCACAGACACAGAGTACAGAGCTGGCATTTCTGATTTCCAATAGTGCTGATTTATCTGATGACCACTCAAATACTAACAGGATTGCCCACACTAAAAATAAATAAATAAATAAACAAACAAACAAACAAACAAATAAATAAATAAATATCTGTCAGGGACGGAGGCAGCAGAAACAAATGGGTGGCCTGAATGAGTTTAATAAACTTCAAGCACGAGACTCAATATTTGCCTAATAACTGTAACCCTCCCCCTCTCCTGAAGCATCTGCTTTTTTAGCAATACCCAAGAACAGCCTGTTCACAGCAACGATAAGTTGTTACTCCAGTGCACCTGATGGAGTCCTGAATTCTGCCTTGGTCCAGCTTCACAACCACACACAGAAACAGGACAGCATTCATTTCTTCTCCAGGCTGATAGCACAAGGTTAACACCAGCAGTACTGCTGAACAGTGCCCCAGTTTGAGCTGAGGATGTGCAGTGAAAGCTGAATTTGCGTCATCTGGGACCTGAGAGAGCCAACCATTGCACAGATAGCTTATGTATACAGATCCTGAATCATTCATTGAGAACCAGAGAGGGAGGGAGTGAGGAAGAGCTGATCAAAAAAGTGGAGCTATTTTTGACAGCATTCACCTAGGAACAAAGTTACTGAGCTTTGTCAAAAGTGTGACATTTCCTTGAAATGCCAGGAAGGGCAGAAATTTCGTTCTTACCTTCCCAGTAATTCTCCCACACGCAAGGGAAGGAGGACAGAGTGGAGCTTACAGCTAACCAGGTAATGCAATTAGCATTCAGGAATTCACTGAGTCCTGTGAGCAATGCAAAGCGTAGATACTGTGGACTGATATCCTTGTCTTCCTTCCCTCCCACTGCTTTGCTAATGACAGTGATGATAGTGGGTTGATGATAGTGTGTTCTTGCATAGCAACTTCCCTTTTGTGACTTCGTGCAGTCCTGCACGTAATTCATTGATGACCCCTTGTTGCTTTTTATTCATGTTGCATAGAAATAAAGACTGAAGCTCTGATGGTTGAATTTGCAGGATTTCAGCACAAAATGTAGGTTATGGATTTAATAGGAAAAAAGAAACTAAGGAAACAAAGCCCAGAAGGGGAAGGAAAAGTACCTCTGGTCTGATCACGCAAAGCTCAAGCAGAGACCAACCACTGTAGGTTTTGTTTTCATCTGGATACAGGCTGGACAAAAACTTGATCAGCACACTAGGATCTAGAAAATCATAAGATGTGATCCGAGTAGGGTGCGAGTGTTTGTGCGTGTGTGCACATCTACAGAGCCCCACCCCTCCCAATCTCCACTGCATCAGTCTGTGCCTGGAGCTACAGGAAACAAATTCTGTCGCCAAGAGCTATAGAATGGGACCTGCTGAGATGGAGTGGGGTTAGATAAACAAAAGCAGTTTATGACATGCCCAAACTCTGGGTTTGTGTTGAGGTGGTGTTTAAGTTTGTCCCTCAGTGTTCAATTATTTTGTAGTGGGCATACAGGCACTTGAAACTGCCTCTTTTTATGTGGGCTTTGCTAATGTCCACTTCAATTTAATACAGGATTAATATAAGTGAAATGCATACAAGCCCTTCATTGCTACCTGAGTGCACGAAAAAGAGATTTACTTGGGCTGAGTTGGGATTGAATTTCAGGCTTCCTTGCTAATGGCCTTCCACCTGATTTGTGCAGGACAAATTAGTCACTCGAACCAGAGAGCGATGACAGCCATGTTTTCTGGAGAGGCAATCAGCTCGTGGAGAGCATACAGGGGCCTGTCCTTGCCTGTTTCGAGTAACTGGTTGAAAACTTAATTTGAAATATTTATGGCTCACTTACTAGTGACATTGCAAAGCTCAGAAATAGCCTGGAGAAGGGCTGTCTATCCTCGAGGATGTAGAACATGCTAAGGAGCCCAGAATGGCTCTGTTGAATTGGCATTGGCTTTCTGGGACCCTTCTGGGTCATTAACCTCACACTAAACCAGATTTCTGTCACAAGCTCCCACTCACTGAGAGAATAACTACTCCCCTTTTGTTCCTTGCCATGGGCTGTCAGCCCTGCACACAATGGTGTGGGATTTCTCTCCTTCCTGCTGGCTCCGAGAAGGAAATGGCATTACGCTCTTACATGAGAGCAGTGGTGGTGTGACTGTGTCCCTACGCTTTCCCCTCAAGGGTTGCTTGTCCAGGGCAAATGGAGAGAAGGGGAAAGGGAAAAAAGGAAAAAGGGGAAGGGAGTCTACCCCAGGGGAAGCAGGGAGAGCTGCTCACAGTCCTGATGGAAGGCAGGTGGGAAGGAAGAGTAATGTACTGTGCCCAGCTTGTGGAGGATTTCAGCTTCAGGATGTTTCTCATATCAAATAGGGTGTCAGGGAAGGTGTAGCTCCAGCTCCAGGTCAGACTCAGCCCCAAGCACCCTTCCTTCTGGGAAATGGAGCAGCTGAAACCAAAGCTGAATTACGAAAATCAGTAAAATGGGTAGTGGACATAAATACAGGGCAGTTAGGTGGTCTCTCAAAATAGCTATTTCTGACTATTTGCATTGTATGTCTGCGCCAAATCTTCTTCTGACTAAATATTCCACTAAAAGTCGATGTCAGGAAGCAGTTACTTTCCAGTGATGTAAGGATTCAGTAACCCACATTATCAGAGCCTTATGAGTGGAGGAGCCTTCTCAGGCATTTTTGCCACGTTTGTTTTCATCCAGTGTAACTGGAAAGATCTCCTGTACAAAGACAGAAAGGCAACTTTGCTGTTCCATAACCTTCCACCCATCAGTCTTCTACTGTTGTTTTTCTAATGTTCTGGCCCAGATTATATAAAAAATTAACCTTTTCTGTGTCTCCATTTCCAGGAGCCATCCACAGGCCATGGGGAGGTTCTGCTCTCTATTAGCTATCTGCCAGCAGCCAATCGTCTGCTGGTGGTGATTATTAAGGCTAAAAACCTTCATTCCAAGCAGCTGAAGGATCTACTTGGCAGTGGTGAGTGTTACAGCAAGTAAACAGATATTGTTGTTTCTGCTATTATGTAAATGTAGAAAGTAAGTGGGAAGGGTGAAGTTTGGCAGGAAAAAAAAAAAAATAGATGTCTGGCTTAGAAAGCTAAAGAGAATTGAATAATTTCTAAAAAGTGAAAACCAAAAGCCCCCTGATCAATATTTCTTCTGTGCTCTCTCAATTTGGTGTCATCAGTGTAAATTCTTTTACATTTTTGGGTGCAGATTCAGGCATCACAATATAAAAAAACATTAAGATATTAGAAAGTGTCCAAAGGAGGTCCATGAGGATGGTGAAGGGCTTGGAGGGGAAGCCTTTTGAACAGTGGCTGAGGTTGCTTGCTCTGTTCAGCCTGGAGAAGAGACTGAGGGGAGACCTCATCATGGTCTTCAACACCCTCACAAGGGGAAACAAAAGGGCAGGCACTAATCGCTTCTCTCTCCTGGGCAGGGACAGGACCTGAGGACATAGCATGAAGCTGAGTCAAGGGAGATTTAAATTGGTCACAGCACCAGCCTGATGGAGTTCAAAAAGTGTTTGGACAACACTCTTGGGCACATAGTGTGATTTTTGGGGGGCCCTCTGCAGGGCCAGGAGCTGGACTCCATGATCCTGATGGGTCCCTTCCAACTTAGCTTATTCTGGTCTGCTTGTTGCATGCTCGTTGACGTGGTGTCTCTCTCCCCTCCCTCTACAGATGTTTCTGTCAAGGTGACACTGAGGCATCAGTCACTGAAGCTGAAGAAGAAGCAGACCAAACGTGCAAAACACAAGATCAACCCTGTGTGGAATGAGATGATCATGTTTGAGGTGCCTCATGAGCTCCTGCGTGCCTCCAGCGTGGAGCTGGAAATGCTGAGCCAGGATGGAGCTGGCCAGAGCCATGTGCTCGGCAAGTGCAGTCTGGGCTTACAAGTCACAGGCACAGAGAGGAACCACTGGGAAGAAATGCTGAGGAACCCCAGGAAACAGATAGCCATGTGGCACCAGCTCCACATGTAGGCTCATCATGATTACTGACAACAAGATTCCCATCAGGCCTCAGAACCTGGGGGAATAAATTGGATTTCACCTTCCACCTTCACCTCCATGAAATTGCCCAGCACAGCACTCTTACTATACCACCCTTCTCCGACCTTCCTGCCCATTCTAGCCCAGGAAACTGTCTGGAAAACATATTTAAAGGACAATCTCTCACCTAATCAAGAGGTTGTCTCCAACAAGGAGTTGGCTGCCTGGATGGTTTGAATTAATTTTATTTGCCTGCCCACTGTCTTGTTTGAGAGGTCCCTGTTTCTGTAGAGGAGCAGAGAGGAGCAATGAAAAGCAAAATTATGACGGAAATGTAAACCCTTCCTTGGCACCTAGTGCTGTCAGCCCAGTCCCTTGATGAGCATTGGCTCCATGATCACAAACACACAACTGTTTTATCAATTACTGCTTTTCATAAATACAAGACTGAGAAATGAAGACCAGAGAACTGACTGTCATGGCAAGCACAAAGAATCAGTATGAAAAACAGAGTGGAGCCAAAGTACAGTAAATGGATAGAAAAAGATACAGAATGCAGAGAACAGAGGAAGAAGAAAGGGAGAGGCAGCCAACACCCTCATCCTGTGCAGCCTTTGAAAAAAACACTGCCAAACAAGAAGTCAAATACCTTCCTTTACTTTTGTTTCCTGGAGAATTTGATTCCTTGTATTTAAGATTCATGAAAACTGCTGAAAACATGAATGTTTCATGACTCTTTAGCAGAATACCTATATCGTTTATCTTTCTATGGTGTCATCCAGGAAGATCCTAAATATGGACAAAAAGTTATTGTTGATGTTACCTCCAAAAACTTGGACCAAATTTTTACTGCCATCGTTTCTGTTTGGGTTTTCCCCAAGTTTCAAATATGCTAATTATATTCCAGGAAACATCTAAAATTAGGCAAAAGAAGTGGGATCATTCCATACCTTAGCAGCTGATAGATGGTTTTGGTTTGACAATTAACTGTTGCACTCAAATCCTCATACCAGCATTACTCAAAGACAACCCTAATTAACTGCCATGTATTTCATCATGTCCAGACAGAAGGAATTCACCAACCAGACAGACTCTCCAGCGCTTGTTTTTCGTGTGCACTTTCAAGATTTGATGTGGTGTAAATGTTACTTTTGACTGTCCTTTTTTTTTGTGTCTCTAGAGGGACTGAAAGTCTGGCATTGGCAGTGATGATGTCATGACCCTATAAGCACACTGGTTGTCCTACTACTTTTTTTCAAGTAATGGACACAACTTTAAGTGACTTCCATGGAGACAAGGCATCCAAAAATCTGGAAACAGAACCATATCATTTGTAGCCCTGAAAATCTCAGAGAGCTTCATATTTGCAGGGTCAGATTGCCCCTTGTTTAAATCAAAATATTAAGCTAAACTTTGCCTAGTATCCATCCCATTCTGGTGGTACAGTCAAATAAGGCTAGCAGCTTGTCAAGGGAAGGCTGCCATCCTGTCGGCAAAGGGAAAACACCTTTGGAGCACCAAGCACAATGGATTATGAAGAGGGAAATGAAGTTCAGCTGGAAGTCAGTGATTAGTGACTGGGGCTGGTTGTGAGACTGACAGAGTTTAGCACCCTCATAAATGACCTAGACAATGGTGCAGAGCATGGCCTCAGCAGGTTTGTAGATGATGCAAAACTATGAGTAGTGATTGATACACAAGGCTGTTGTGCTGACAATGAGAGGGATGCTGAGAGAAATGCTGGAGTAATGGGCTAACAGGAACGTCCTCAAATGCAACAAGAAGTGGAAAGTCCTGCACCTGAGGAAGAACAACTCCTTGCAGTGCAGGGGTAAAGGCCAACCATCCATAAAGGAGCTTTCCAGAAAAGGACCTGTGTGTCCTGATGGACACCAAGTTGAACATCAACCAGCAGTGTCATCTTGCAGCAGAGAAGGACAACAGTGCCTTGTGCTGCAGTAAGCAATGCCAGCAGGTCAAAGGAGGGTGATCCTTTCTTCAACTCAAAGTGCCCAGTGAGGGCACTTCTGGGTGCTGTGTCTGTTGCTGGACTCCCCAGTGCAAGAAAGATATGGAGTTTCTGGAAAGAGTGCAGCAAATGGCCATGAAGATGTTTAAGGGACTGGAGCATCTTCTGTAAGAGGAGGGGCTGAGAGAGCTGGAACTGTTCAGATCAATGTGTACAGATACCTGACCTGGGAGAGGACAAAAGAAGATGGAAAGAGACTCTTTTCACTGGTGTCCAGTGACAGGACAGGAGTAAAGGTCACAAGCTGTATTGTAGGAAATTCTATTTGAGCATATGAAAAATACCAAGAATAAAACCTTTTTGTACTGTGAGTATAATCAAATATTGGAAACAAGTTGGCAGGAGAGGTTGTTGGGGCTCCTCATGCTTGGAGACAGTGAAAATTTGATGTGATACAGCATGAACAACCTGCTCTAGTTTATCCCACTTAGAGCAGGGGTGAGTTTGGACAATATGATCTCCAGAGGCCCTTTATATCCTCAGCAATGCTATGATTCTGTGAAGAAACTAACAAGGTTGATGCACACTGAAAGCTGCTAACTTTACACTACTATTTCTTTTGTGGGTAGTGTACCCAGGTAAGCTACAGGATCATTTTGAAGAAATCAATAAAATCAGCTCTGAGCAACCAGACAGACAAAAAAGCCAAGCATGCCCATGAATCTTACACCAAATATTTTAATCTCTGATTTTGATCTATTGGCTAGAGGGCATGTAAACAAAAAGAAAATTGATTTCTTGTTTTGCTCTATGGGGTTTTTTTGCTAACAAAAAGCTGTGAGTAAACTGGAGACGGGGGACTAGTTGATAGTGAATTCTTAATGCTTACTGTGATCCTGATTTGCCTGTAGATACACCTATAGGTTTTTGAATAATCATTGCCATGTAAGTGCAGAATTTATTGGAATGTTGGCCTAACCCACTTATAGGTTCCAGGCAGCACTGTGATTTTTTTGGGGATAATGATAAGAAGGATAACTTCACGGTATGATGCTATTTGGCTGGCATTGGAGAGCCTGAAGGGGCAAATACTTGCCTTGCTGCCAACTCCTCTGGTTCTGCATCCTGCTTGTTTCACTGAGCCTTTTATAACATCTTGATGACTGATTGTAAACAGCATTATCTGCCTGTGCCCTGGTGATTCTGGCACACCCTGTAATAGATATCAGTCCTATGGCATTTAAAAGCATAGATCCACAGAATCCGACGGCTCTGGCAAAACAATGTCCTGTTTTTACAGCAGACAAATGCAGTATACACACTACTTAACCACAAATCCGTCTTAGGAGCAAAGTGGTGCCATCAGTGTTAATGAACGGCATTGTTTCCTCCTTTGCTGCAGTGAGATTTAATGGGAAAGAGAGAAAATGCATACATCTTCCCCGGAAGGACCATTCTTGCTGTCTGGCATTTTAGCCTGCAAAGAATGCCCCTGGCCATCGGCACAGCCCGAACAAAGGCTGCCAGGTGTGGGCGGGAGGAGGCAGCCGCTGGCCGGGGCTGACAGCGGGCACGTAGCGGGGACCAGGAATGCTGTGTACGTGTGGTGGCCGAGGGGCAGGGACAGCCAGCCGTGCCTTGTGAGCCCTGCCAGCAGGAGCTGGGTGTCACCGCATTCCAGCGGCCGCGCAAGCCCTGCCCTCGTCTGCCTGCGTGTCCCTGAGCCTCAGCACCCCAAGGACACAGGGGCTGAACTGGCCCAGCAGGCGAATGGCCGGGAATGGTTGTGGTAGGTGGCAACGTCGTGAAGATAAATCCGAGGTATTTGGAAATGCCATTGTATTAAGAGATTTCAGCAACTTGAGCTGTCAAAGCGTCGCTGAAGTGCACTAAGGACGGAGCCAGACAGACCTTCGGTTTTCAGCTCCTGAAGCTGAAAATGCAGGAGCATCAGCAAGCACCACTGTGTATTAAATTTAAGGATGCTGCTTATAAATTACATCATAAGAGAAGAAGCAAAAAACAAAACAAACAAACAAAACAATGGGAATGAATGTTCCTGATATATGTGTGACCAAAAGCAGCCACAAGAGTCCCCAGTGGCTAGTTAGTGGCTGGACTGGTTATTTTGCCTGCTGTAAGCATTAACATGAAGAAGCTGGAAGCCAAGAGACTGTAGGGAATAAGGAAGGAGAAAAGAAAGAAACTTGGTCAGAATGAATGATCCTTTTCTCTAAAGGCTAGAATTGTGAGTTTAAGGACAGGGACTCACAGTCCCTCATCCAGTGATAAAGCCCAAACAACCACATTACTGTAAAACAGCCTGAAAAATGCAGCTTCCGTATATTTTCCAGCTTTGACTGGGAAAGATGGTCTCCTGAGGCAGCCTCTGCTCAGAGGAGGGGGCTGAGAGGCCAGAGGAAATGACCTGTGACTACACTGAGTTCCTTTGTTAAAATATAGACTGTAGCCATCTGTTGTTTTGCCTCAACTTGCCCTCAAAGCTAGATCTTCCTCCTCAAAAAATTATCTAGTTTGATTTTAAGCAATTTGTCCTACAGTAGAGGATTAATAAGCACAAATCATCAATAGTCACTAAAATATCTGGGATGTTTTAGCCTCATTACTACCCTCAGCACCCTTCCCCAGTTGTAAGGGGACTTGTTACAGCTGGTGCCCTGTAAGGGGAACATTTTTGCAGTGCAGGGTCTTCCCCTCAGTTGTTGTCCCAAATATCCTTGCATGGTAATAAGAAACATGTTTGCTTTGCAAAGAGGTAATACATCATAAAGCAATGGAAAATTCCCTTCAACAGGACTGGGGAAAATTTTCAGGCTCAACTATTCTCCCAGGTACTGATGGGCTTTCAACACCTTGAACAGCTGTACCTTGTATTTTGCTAGCATCTGTCATCAGTATTATCTGGCAGTAGCATTCAAAACCACTCTTTTTTTTTTCCCCCAAAATGAAGTAGGTTGTTATTTTGGCTCTAGAATTACAGCCCAAGGTTTGCCCAAATTTTCCTGATGTTGAAGATGAATTGACTACAACGACATTTAATAAGAACTGGAAGCTAAAGTGGCTTGGATCATGCTTCTTGCACTCTTTTGAAGGTCAGTTTGAAGTCTGAATTGAAGGACAGAGCATTGACAGCATTTTTATGTGTTTCAGAATTTAACTAGGTATTAAAATGTATTTGGTTAATTTGTTGCAAGATAAGCATGATGAGTAAATAGTAACACTCAACACTTCATATTATTTCTTCTGTTTTCAATATGCACAAGAAAAGTAGCAAAGTGAAATAGTGATTTGTGGCCTTCCAGCATGAGGGGGCTTTTCTGTTTACTTGGTCCTTTAGTGTCCCAGTGTGTTTATTGTACAGAGCCAGATATTGTTTGTCAAGACTCTATATTGTTCTCACAATCCAATGCACAAAACCAGAGCATGATGCTCAGCCATTGTGTCTAATATTACAGCACAACATGTTAAACACTGCAAGTAAATAATTCCAAGCTGTACCAATGCTGTGTCTGCATTGTTTACTCTACAGTAAGTCCCCTCTGCTTGCAGCTCATGTCAAGGGCACAGAGTGCTGGCATGAGTCAACAGAAGATGCTCTGAAGGGTGTCATCAAAGGATGGGTGTACGATGGGAAGGGGAGCAGTCAGCAATGGAGTCCTGTCCTGGGCAAGCACAAGAAATCTATTGGCTTTTTCAGCAAGGTGGCAGCTAAAAAAAGCTCTGTAAGGCTTTCCAGCAGCTACAAGGAGATTAGAGAATAGGATCTGGGAGCCAGGTTCTTCTCAGACACTGGCTGCATCTGTAGAACAAAACTTAGAAGTGAATTCAGAGGGGGGTTTTTATTATTATTTTGTTTTTCACCAATCTCAGTACTTTCAAGCTGATGTTGACAGTACTCTGTAAACCATGCATTTTTAAGGAGGAAAACATACTTGGCTGACCTAATACCATCAGCAGAATTAGCTGGTTCCTAACAAGAAACACAGATCAAAACCTGCACATAAAAGTAAAAAAAAAAAGACGATTTTTGGAGCAGGAGTGGGAAGTATTTACCTCACTGACAGTTTGGGGGCACTCTCACCCATCACAGTCCCTGTTAAAACACAAGGAGAGAAAACAAAGCCAGTCTGCAGAGCCCCAGGCGGGTGCTGGCTTCACAAAGAGGGGGGTGCCTGTCAGCTGCACAGCGAGGCTGATGGCACTGAAGAATTTGCTGTAGAGATGAAGCAAAAAGCTGTATTTTTGCTGCACAGTGAGCTGAACATGGGTGGTGCATCTGCCAGGGACAATCCTTTCCACCTGGGGGATTTGCACAGGGTTGCTCAGTAATTCCCAGCTCAGCATATTGAAAAGCAGCAATAGCTGTCACAGAACCATTCTTCTCTTAACCCTGCTGTTCATTCTCAGTTCAGATTTATTAGAAGCTTTTTCCCCCTACGGTATTTAAAAATTAAACTGGAACTGTCCTGTAATCCTGTCTGCCAAGAGAGAGTAGCACCTAATCCAGCAGCTATATCACAGTCATTGCCAGTGCTGGTCCTGAAGGTCTGCAGCCAGTTCCTCCACTTCCCTGAACCCCTGGTGATCACTGAATGGAGTAAACCCAGCAAGGACAGGGCTTCAAGATGCCCTGGAGAAAACAGGTCACATCTAAAACCAACACCTACGTCTCCAGACAGTTCTCCTGAACACCACAAAGTTCAGTGGTGGCCTGGAGTGCAGCTCTGCCACTCCTGACCCTCTGCTGCACATGGCTCCCCATCCCATCCCATCCCATCCCATCCCTGGCACCTCTGTGAGGCTCTCCCACCCCTGTGTGCCCCCAGATGTACCACCAGCATCCCCAGAAACAGGGTGTCTGGCAGCCATGCAGACAGCACACTTGTTTTTCTCCTTGATCAAAACAACTTCAAACAGGCAACTTCAGAGAGTCAAAAAGTCTAGCTAGCACATATGCTGTGCTGTGGGAGCCTTTGATTATCCAGCAGATATTTTTAGAGCCCTCTGCAAATGAGCTGTGGCTCCATTTGTGCGGTGTACGGCGACAGCTCTGCCAGAAACAGCCTGTGTGCTGCCGCAGAGCTGGCCCTGGCACTGCCCAGACACCTGCCTCTGCCCTGATTTACACATCTTGGGGGGCACCTGTTTAAAGCCACCCACATGCTCAGCTGCCTGTGCTTTTCCCCTCAGGAGCATAAGATAGGGAAGACAGGCCCCAGGAAGTGCTGCAAAGCCCCTCTGCTTATGCCTGTAAGATCTTGGCGTCATAGGCTCCACACCTCCTGCTTCCAAGAAGAAACATGTTCAGGTTTTTTGGTAAATGAAGTTTCTAGCACCAGCTGCTAACAACAGTCATCTCCACGGAGCATATCCAGGACACCAGCAGAGCGGGGAAAAGTGTGTGTAAGGCATTAATGCTATGACAACCATCACTGAGGAATTTTTCAATTTCCTTTTCACTCATATTGACATGAGAATCACTGGTCCTAAAAGTAAAGGCCACCTTTCACCCTAGATCAGATGAATTGTATGCAAGCTTCCATTCCTGAAAAAAGCTCAGACAGTGCACTTTGCATGAAGAGATCTTGCTTTTAAGTTCTTGGTTTGAAATTACCAGCAAGGAGGCAGATCACTGCCAAGGGTGACTAACAAGAGTCCACAGCACAGAATCGCCTGTAGGAAATGGATCATAGCAATGGAAATAGCAATGCATTTCACAAGCAGTTCTAGCTCTTTACACGTGGCTGAGCTGCTGAAAGTAAAACATTGCCCTGCCTTCATGCTGTCAATTGACTAGCAAAGGCAAAAACCCCAGAGATGAGGTGTTCACTGTTGACTGACAGGTGCCCAGGAAACCAAACTGAAGCTAAGCCATGCCAACCAGCAAGATTTTGCTGGGCTTGCTTACTGCTCAAAAATTAGCAACTTTAAATCACTACAGTGAAAGCTGCCAGAAAATGACAAACTGTGTGTGATATGTGGTCTGCTCGAGGAATTGGACTTTGAGGAATTCACTAAAACAACCTTTCCTATTGGACCTATTTGATGACTAATTTGGGGCTACTTTCACTTCTCACCCTGGAAACTGCCAGTCACTTCCAGCCCTGGTGGCTACACTCCATTAAAATTTGGAGGCATTCATTCTGAACCCAAAATTTCTGCCCAGCCCTTCACCTGTGATGATTGATGGGTCTACATGCATGCTTCCCCTGGGGCAATTGGAAAACCAGGATTCCTTCAGACCCGATTAAAGAGCCAGTCCTGGATGCTTCCATCCCCAGAAACTGAAGCTCAGTATCAACACTCACAGTATGCAGCACCACACCCAGGATCCACACCGTCAGCTGCATAGCTTGCTCCTTGTTTTCTGCTTCCTTCCACTGCCACATGGACACATTTACAGCTGAGCGAGCAACTGTTTGTGCCAGAAGGGCTTTGTTTTCTGCCTGTGTTTCTCTCTGGCTGTAGCTGTCACCCAGGGATCAACTAAACTTTGCAAGGTTGTCTCTGCTTGCACTGCCAGGCAAACCTGAGCCTCAGTGAAGGAAGGATGATCCATAGTTCCTGTGGTGCCTTTGCCGTGAGGTGTATCCGCAGCAGCAGCCAGGCTCAGCCTGTGGAGGCAATGTTTTCAGCTGTTTGGTCAGCAAACATCCCACAGCCCAGGGCTAATCCGTGGACACGTACTTATTTCAGATGCTTGCTCTCTTGCCCCACAATGATTTAGCAGGTCTGAGATCCTCCATGTACAAAAATACTCTTAATACATTGAACTGTTTTAAAAGTTGCACCTTTAGTTAATCAACTGCAAGCCCAGTGCCTAAAAAGAAGAATCTGAAGTTAAGTCAGCCCTCTCTTTTAAGGAAAGAAAAAGCCCAGCTTCCCCTGGATTTAGAGCATTTAGAGCTCAGGAAAAGTGTCACCATCCTTCAGACCAAACCAGGCACATATGTAAAGCTTTGTCAGTCCACATTACAAGCCCAGCCTACCACAGCAAAGCTAACGATAATGCTAGCTGTACCTGTACCTGACTAGAAAGGGAACGCAGAGCCTCGATGACACCCACTCTGCATCCCAACCCAAAAACAGCATGTGCTGAATAGCTGCCAGTGCTGACCCAGACCAGCCCTGGGCTGCTGGGAAGTGCCAGCTCCTGGGCTGCCTGCTGCAGCCTTGGCAGGGGATAACCCAGCTCCTGGGGAAAGCGGGCAGCTGCAGCACAGGACATGCTGGACCTGCTTGCCAGGACTTTGTGAGGTGAGGACTTCAAGGGGCTGCAGTGACACTCAGCATGTCAGGGAGCCACTCAGGAGGGAGAACTACCAGCACCTCAGGGGGCTGCAACTAACCCTTCTGGATTAACCAGCACTGAATTTACTCTCCATAGTCCTGGCTGAGGGAAAAGAAAGTGCATCAGCTTAGACAGATGTCCTTCATCTGGCAATATGACATTAACCTCCGAGAACAATTTGAAGAATTAGCAACCCAACTTGATAAATTTAAATGCTTTTTTTTTTTTTTATTAACAATCATTTTACATTACAAGGATAATATGACAAAAGGAAAGTTCTCGTGTACATACTATGATATATCAACATAGCTCTATTCGTATCCAGTGTCCTAGGTCCTTTCACACAGGTACTATAAAGCATAGTCTGTAAAGTAATAACATTTTAATGTCTCCAAAAGAGTGATATTAACATATTAATACATATATAGTAATAGACGTCTAGATATTTTTCTCTCATTTCATATGTGTGTGTGATGGGTGAGTGGGTGGGTGAGAGATAGCTTGAAACAGTTCAGCAGGGCTGTGCTTGGATGTGGATACGGAGAGGTTAGAGACAAACCCTCGTTTTCTGGAAGTAGAAATGCATTTTTGCTAACTGTCAGGTGAGTCTATGAGGATGCCACGACTGGCAGAGAACTCCGTAGCCCTCCTGTAGCATTTGGGACATTACAGCATATGAGACATGGTTCCCCCGCGCGGCCCAGCGAGCTTATTCGACATGAGGTGCAGTGCATGGGAGCCCCTCGCCGGGCGGCAGCACCACCAGCAGGGCGGGTGGGAGGCGAGGCCGCGGGCTGGGCTCACGCGGGTGTCAGTGGCATCGGAAGGAGGGGGCTGGAGCGAGAAAACTGTCTCTGAGGTTTGTGAGGAACAGGTGCCGAGAGCTCCCCGCCGGTGCTGCGCGGCTGAGGGGCTGCGGCAGAGCGGGGAGCCGCCGCCGGGCAGGGGCGGCTGAGGTGGATTACCAGTTGTGTGGAGGAGAGAGGCCTGGGAGAGGGCACTGAGGTGTGTGACAGGGCTCGGGGACAGCTTGCACAGCGTCTGCTCATGCAATACCAGTGTAAGGAGCATTCGGATGTCGGAATTACAACTCACCCTCCTCCCGACCAAAGCCAACAAATAAAACAAACGGCAAGGAGCGCAGTGGTTGCCAGGCGTGGAGCGGAGCTGCCAAGGTAAACCTCCATGCTTTCCCTCCAACCCTTGTGGG